AGGGGGCGGAAGCCCGAGCCCGCGCTGTGGCAGTGAGCCGAACCCAGAGCGAACGGAGCCTCTCGGATTTCTGCGCCAACCCTGTGTTCGGGGCGGAGAAGGGTCTCCGAGAGGTTTCCGAGTCCCAGCGCGAGGGCGGGGCGGGGCGGGCGCTGGCAGCCCCAGGCAAGGGGGCGAAGTCGACCTCCCAGACTCTAATCGGATCAGACCTAATCCGTTCGCAGCCAAAGCCCAGACCTCTCACAGCCAGGCCCGCCCGAACGCATGCCGGGGGCAGGGGGCAAGACCTTCCTGGGACTGCGGCTACCATGCCTGCCTGCCTTCTTGCCTCTTCAGGGCAGCCTGGGAAGTGGCCTTTAATCCCCGCTCTTACCCCCTCCCCAGGTTACATCGCCCCCCTTGTGTCCCGGGATACCAAAGCTCAAGTTGCTGGGCAGTCCCAAGCGGCCTAGATCACAGCCTAGGGACACGCGGACGCCATGCCAAGCGTTATAGTATGTCTGCGGACTCTGACAAAGCTAACTGCAGTCCAGAACCACTCATCCTCGAATCCCTGCTTGGTAGGGGAGTTGCAGCCTAGTCATCTAGTCTATCCATCAAACCGACCTCTACCTCTTGATCTGCTATTAACCCAAATGACATTCAGGGTCACTGCCTGAGATGTGGCAACACTGGTATTTGAGAGGCTTCCATTTCTGACATTAGAAAACCACGGTAAGTGACCAAGATGGAGATTCTCCTAATCTCTCTCTAGTACATGTCTCTGGATGGGTTTGCCTTGGTTCAAAGCCTTTCTCTCACTGGAACTAGTTTTGCTGCAGTCTCTTTGCTTGACCTGGTGGTTTCCTCCCTCCAGGTCTGCCTGGCAAACTCCTTAACCCAGACAGCTCAGCTGTCACCTTCCCTTACCTGAAGTCTTGTCAGCTTGCCCCAAGTAGTTAGACATTTAGGCCCTAATATCAATTACTGTCTACAGTAATTCCCCATTGGACTGCAAGACACTTGAGTGCACAGCGCCAGGCACAAATGGAAGCTCCCTAAGGTGGGTAGGAGGCATAAATGAATGAATGGCAACCATCTTACCCCAACCCCAGAACCTTGGGTCTGGACCTTCCTGCAAATGGACTTGCTGAGGCTCTTTCCATGGCTTCATTGCCTCTGGGGACAGTAACGACCAGTGTGAAATACAACCTTTTTCGAGAAGAGGGCCAGGCAGGGCTTTGCACCTGTTTGCCACAGGGGCACTAACACACCCTCCAACACCATCTCTGCTTTCCTGCAGCTCACCTTTGCATCTCTCTCTCTTTTTTTTTTTTTGCCTCCTATAACAAGTCTCTATGTATTGCTCTGCTCTGTCTCTATAACTCTTGGGTGATGGCTGTCAGAGTGGAGGATCTTGGTGGACATGTCTACCTCCCACTTCCTGAGGCCAGTCTGTGTGGGAAGGAAGTCTCACAGGTGGGTCCTTTGATGCCTGGAGCATGGCAATCACTCCCATGTTATTTCACAAGAAAGGTCTGGATGCGGGCCCTTTCCCCACCCCTCTAGTAAAACTCTACCTACTCCAGTTTGTTTCTCATTTTAATATATTTTTAAAACATTTAAATATATTCTTTTAAATTTAATTTTTGAATTAAGTAAAACAAGCATATGGTATAAAGTAAAATTTGAAATATCGATTTCCTCAATGAACTTCATCCCTTCCCTGGAGACAGATTCTGTTACCACTTTCTTCATTTGGGGATTTTAAATCAACTGTTGTCATTCAGTTTCATTCTGATCCTCTCTAGCAGATCTCACCAGCAGTATCAGGACTGAGCACAGCGCACCTAGTTAGGTGACACCTCCACAAGATGGGTAGCAGAAGCGGTGTGGTGTGTGACTGACGAGCAGGCCTTGGCATCAGATCTGGGTGACCTTGGAGGAGTTGGTAACCTGTCTCATGTATATGGACGTGGTAACCATAGAGTGTCAAGTGTATGTAGTATTTTTTCCTGGGCACAAGGGCTAGGGTAGACTAAAGAAGATACAGAAGATGTAGAACTGGAGAGTGAAAGAAAGAGAAATTGACCTCTATCATGAGCTTACAACCATATTCACACATTCAAGCTCATACCATTTGGGCATCAGGGATGCTTTGAGGCAATGGCTGCTGCATGCCTCTGAGGTTCCCACTGGGTTTGGCAGTACCAAGGAAGGCACAAGGTCTGTTGCCATGGCTACAGCCTGCCACCCTGTGCATAGAAAGTCCCTGGCTTTGCCAGGGGGCTGCCATCCAGGGCAAGAGCTGCTCCTGTTGCTGTGGCTGGGGGCATACTTCAGTCTGAATAGGAAGCAGCACAGTTCCTCGCTGTAAGTCCTCATTAGCAACCACTAGCCTTCTGAGTTTTGTTTTCCTTGTGTTCTAACTTGTCTTATTCTTCACTACCATACTATGAGTATCTTACTGGTCATTTTACACACTTGCAAATGGACAGATATCGTTGCTAATGAAGTGGTAAGGTTGGGACTTGAACTAAGATCTTAATTTCAAAACTTTTCATTTTAAAATGGAGGCTTTTCATTCTTGCTTTAATTCAGAAGAATCAGGATCAGAGGTAGGGCCTCACTTGGCAGAATGGAAGCCGTCTCTCCCCCCGCCCCCCGCCCCTACTTCTACCTGGGCATTTGCGAGTTTATGCTATGATCTCCTAATAGGATAGAACATGGCAGTAAGGCCAGATTCATGCCCTCCATCAGTCAGAAAGGGACATCTAGCATGGCCTCCTACTTGCCAGTGTGCTCAATAGACACCTGGTTCTAAGCTGCAGGGAATGGGCCCTCTTGCACCATTGCCAGGAAGGAAGAGCCAGGGAACAGGGTCCTGAGTTCTTTGTGCTGACCACCACCTCTTGG